AACCGCATTCACCATATCAATACAAGCAGATGCCTTCGTCCAGTATAGACCACGACGTTTGTTACCAAAAGCCATAACTAAGGAACCCTTAATGAGCTTCCATTTTCCATCACCGTTGGTACTAACATATCCTTTATCATCTAAAACACCAACATAATTTAGGTGCTGACGAACATCAGAAGCATGTTTCACATTGTTCAAAACTAATTTAGTTCCAACATTAGTTTCCAAACAAATTGTACCAGTACCAACCACCCTAGAAACAGTCTCATTACCCATACTCAAGGTTCCAGATTCACCAAGAGTATAGGAAGAGAAAAAGTACTTCCTTGATGTCACATGAGATGCGGCACCAGTGTCCACAACCCAGCTTGACTCATCACAAGCAATATATATCATGTTTGCATCAAGAACGGTGACAAGATCATCGGTGGTGACGTTATCTAGGAAATTTTCATTGCAATCTTCTTTAGTTTTCTCTTTGTTTTTGTTCTCCCTCTTCAACTTCCTGCAGAACTTCTTCATGTGCCCTATCATGCCACAATGATAACACTTAATATCCTTAAGTTTGCCTTTGGATTTTCTCATGTTTTGTTCTCTATACTGAGTACCACAATTTTTTCTCCCCCTGGGACCAGTTATTAGGACATCCAACGAAGAAAAACCTAAAGATTTTCTTCTCATCTTTTCGTTCAAGACACTACTCTTGGTGGAATCCATAGAGATCACACCATCCGGAGCAGAATTTGACAATGAAGTTCTAAATGTTTCCCAAGAGTCTGGTAGGGAACCAAGTAGAAGCAAGCCTTGAATTTTTTCATCGAATTTGATGCCCATAGCAGATAACTAATTCATGATCCCCTGAAAATTATTCAGATGGTCTGTCATCGGAGAACCATCATGATACTTTAAACTCAATATCTGCTTTATTAAGAGCAATTTGTTGTTTCCAGTCTTACGAGCATATAAACTTTCAAGATGCTCCCATAGGGTTCGAGCATGTGTCTCTCAAGAAATATGGTTCAACGCATTATCGTCAACCCATTGCCTAATGAACCCACAAACCCGTCTGTGCAACAGATTCCACTCTTCATCTATTTTATTATCAGGCTTTACAGTGGAAAATACTGCTTTGTAAGAATTCTTAACATAAAGCAGATCTTCAATTTTTCCCTTCCAAATGGCATAATTAACACCATTAAGTAACCATTCTACTTGTGTTGGCTTCTATCAGTTTTCCCCCAAAAATATTGTTATCGCATCAAAGAAAATCTTTTCTGATGTTGAAGTTCAGATTCTGCTGCAACCACAGAGCATACTAAGATAAAACCTTAGCTATCAACCAGTTTGTTGGGAAAACGCAAATAAACACAAAAATATATATGGTAAAAGTAGTGGAAATAAATGGAAAAATAGCGATACCAAGAATTTTACTTGGAAACCCTTCTTAATAAGGTAAAAAACCACGGGCCAAGAGGAGCAACTGATATCACTATAGTAAGGAATTTTACACAGTGTAGTCACGAATACAATACTCAAAGTGACTACTACACACTCAAAAGAAACAACACTCTTTTGGTTTCCACCTAACTAAAATATCGCTCACACTCTATATTGCTTCACAGACTATTTTTCTTGTATAGTCTATGGAATACCCTACTTAGCTCTCAAAGTGGTTTTTTTTTAAACTTTTGGTGTGTTCTATAAATGAGCAAGAATACTCTATTTATAGAAGGATCAAATCATGCCTATGTCACTAATGACATAGGTAAATATAGAAAAGTAAAAAATGGTTGCTAATCTTACCAATTTGCCAACAACTAAATCTTTTATTTTCAACTCTAATTACTATTCCTTTTTAACAATTGCTTGTAGCAATTGAATAGCTAAAGTTGACCAAAAACTGGATGGATTCAACACAATTAGAAGTTCATCAACATCATCACTTTGAAAGTCAGCACTTGTAAGCTTAATGTTACTCTCCAAAGGTGTTGCTGATGGTTTGGATCCTGATAAACCAGCTTATCAGCTTCTGGGATAAGCTCCAATGCATACTTTATGTGACTCATGACAAATCCCTTTGTTGATCTACAAAACTAAATGCCAAGAATGTATCTTAATTCCACTAAATCCTTGATCTGAAAATGAAGTAATAGATTTTTGTGGTTTGCTGAATTAGTGAGTGATCATTGCCTGTGAGCACCAAGTCACCAACATATACTAATACAATCCCCAGTGCTGACCCCTTTCTCTTTGTAAACAGTGATGGACTAGTTGACTTTGGATATATCCTTAAGATACAAAGCATCTATTAATTTTGCATTCCATTTCCTACAATTCTGTTTTAGGCCATACAATGTTTTGATAAGCTTACAAACTTTGTGTCCTCCTTGACTAATAAAACCATTTGGTAACTCCATACACACCTCTTCAAATAAGTCACCTTGAATCAAGACATTGAATACATCCATTTGGTATACTATCCATCCTTCAGCTGCTGCAATACCTATAATTGATCTCACAGTGACCATTTCCACAGTTGGTGAAAAGGTCTCATGATACTCAATACTTCAGTGTGACTGTATCCCTTTGCCACAAGCCTAGCTTCAAACCTGTCAATCTCTCCATTAGCTTTGTATTTAATCTTAAACACCCACTTGCATCTTATAGCATGCTTTCCTGGTGGCAACTCCATAATCTTCCATGTACCATTTTTCTCCAATGCAACAATTTCTTGTTTCATTGTTTCCACCTATCTATGATCCCTTCAACTTCTTCATTTGTTTTAGGTTCTGTTCCTGTATACATCACTGAAATAGGCCTGATATGAAGTTGATAAATTATCACAGGATATGATTAGCTTGTGAATGTGGATGCAACGAATCAGTCACAGAAGTGATGTAATGCTTCATCCAAACTGGAGGATGAGATGTTCTGGAAGAAGTTCTTGATGGAACAGTGGTTGATGCATTAGCAGGGGATTCATAACCTGTAATAACATATCTTGACCTGTATCATTTGCTTCTACATCATCAGTTGTAATATCTTTTTCTTCATAGGTATGTTCTTGCTCAAAAAATACCTGTGCATAATCTTTCTCAATATTTGAGATTTCAACATCATCATCAGTAAGAGAAGTCCAATGAAGTGTGGGACATGATTGGGAGATGACAATTTACTGAATGGGAATACAATTTCTTTGAATGTCACATGTTTGATTACCGTAACTCTTCTAAGTCTTATGTTGTACAACAAGTATTCTTTCTGTGTAAGTGAATACTCCGTCATTAAACAAACATCTACCGTACAAGAGAATTTATCTTATTTCACAAGCTTTGTGGCATAGCAAAGATACCCTATAGTTCTCAAGTGATCTAACTTTGGTGCAATTTTGTGAAAAACCTTATAAGGTGACAATCCTTGCCATACACTAGAAGACATTCTGTTTATTAAGTACACCGCAGCTAACAGACATTCACCCCAAGATCTGATTGGAATAGACCCTTGAAACCTAATGTCTCTAGTATATATCTGTGCTTCCTTTCCACCACTCCATTTTTGTTGTAGAGTGTGTGGAAAGATACTCTCATGAATTACCCCAGAGTAGAAAAAAAGTGTTACATTCCCATTTGAAGAACTCAGTACCAATTATCTGATCTCACCCTTTTTAACATCCTTGTTGAATTGTGTCTTAACCAATCAAATAAAAGATTTCAATGTTTGAAAAACATCACAAGTCTTGAAAAATTAATGGTATATCCACCATTAATGACTTCATTAATATGCTCTACTTGTCACATATTAAAGACCCTGCCAACTTTCCAGACTTCCACGTTAGTCCCCCCCCCTTTCCAACATATTTGGAATGATATATTTATTTCTAATTCTTAAAATATATCTAAGAAAAAAAGTCTCCAAATGGAAACACTTGCAACTCATTTTTGTTGAAGGCGATTTGTCAATTTCGGCGAGTTTTTCGACGGTGATATCCATTTCCAAGGTAAATTATCATAATCTCCTACTCCATATTAATGTTTACTCCAATTTCTTTCAAAACCAAGCTTAAAAATTAGTTTTTTGTCATTCTAGAATTTTGAGAAATCTTCCATAATAATCACTTGATAACTCATTATATATACATTTTAGTAGTTTAAAAACATTAAAAATTTGTTTTGCCTTTGCAGGGAGCTGAATTTTGAAACCAGATTCATCTAGTCTCATTTTCTTATGGATTTTGTATCTCATAGGCTGATACTGTAATCTATTATAGATATTTGTAGTCTATAATGGCAGTAGCTGAATATGTTGTTGCTACTGGAGATTATATGGGAGAATGGGAGGAGACTCCTAAAAGCTTGAATTGGAAATATTTTAGTAAGACGACAATGCAAATTATGTTGCGTCGCAATGGTTCATATAACGATATGATTGCGAGCGTAATTGAGGCCGGTGAGATAACTTGTGAGCCTAATGACTTGGTGATTAGCTATCAAATGAATGCGAGGAGAAAAATACATCCCACATTCATAAAAGATGATCGGCACGTTAGCTTGTACATGTTAGACATTGGCATTGATGGCTCTAGGCCTACATTGCGGATACACATCAATGCGGGACCTCCAATTGAAGAAACAAATTCATTTTACGATGACAATGATTCTATTGAAAATTAAAAATTAGGTGATCATTCAAATGAAAGTCTGGGTGATCATTCAATGAATATACATGATAATCCAATTAATGTAGAAATTATTCGGTAGATGCGGTAATCCCAAGCATGAATATTTTGAAGAAATGTAGGGAGAAGAGGAGTTGAAATCACAGTCCAACCATTGCTTCCTCGATGGAACTACATTATGCATAAATCAAACTTTCAGTAACAAGAATGAGTTGCAATTGTTATTGGCTGAAGCGGTGATAAAAAAAGTCTTGATATTGCTACTTTGAGGAGTTTTACTAAATATTTAAAGGTGAAATATTTATCTCAAAACTGTGCATAGATGTCGCGGGCGAGAAAGTATGATAATTCGGATAGAATTTGTATCTATAAGTACATCAGCGAACATAGTTGTGGTGTTAAACATGCCAATAGTAGCCATAGAAAACTCTCAATTAAAGTCATTGCTTCACTTTGTGTAAATATGTATCGTGATGGAAAGAGTTCAAATGTTAAAGGGATTCAAGGGATTATGTTTAATTCATTTCGTTGTAGTACAAGTTATTGGAAATGTTGGAAGGGAGGTGTGGGTTCCAAGGAGGTGGTCCAAGGGACAACAGAGAATGGATATTCATGGTTACTGACTTTTTCCTACATGTTAGAGACACTTTATGTTGGTTCTATCTATTTTATCATTGTAACCAAGGGTAGCCTTAAGTTCATGTATTATATCTTGGCCATCAGTGCTTGCATTACGGGAGTTGCTCACATGAAAAAGGTAGTTGCGGTTGATGACACTCATTTAAATGGTAAATACGAAGGCGTGTTATTGAGTGCTGTTGCACAAGATACAGAGAAAGATGTATATCTGATTGCCTTTTGTGTGGTGGATAAAGAGAATGAAGCATCTTGGACATTCTTCTTTGAGAAGAGTAAGGAGATTGTGGTCGATGAACCAGACTTGTGTTTTATCTCAGATATACACAAGAGCATCACCAACGACATTGCGGACGTTTACAATCATGCTCACCAGGGATATCGTATGAGGCACCTCGGTGAAAATCATCGCGTAAATCATCATTGTGGAGATTACCTTTATCTCTACTACAATGCGGCAAAGGCTTATTCTTTGGAAGAGTTTGACAATCATTTTGTCAAATTCAAAAACAAATTTCCCGCAACAGTCCTCGCCCTTGAGTATGATATAGGTTTTGAGAAGTGGAGCAGATACATTTTCCTAGCAATAGATTTGATGTGATGACCACAAGTATCACCGAGTTACTTAATGCTATGTTGATAGATGAAAGATAGTATACCATGCATCAATATTTAATTCAATTAGTAAGAGGTTTGAAGAATTGTTTAGTGAGTGGCATGCATATATACTTAAATCAATAGGTAATCAAATGCTGCCTTCTGCAGAAAAAAATGCAAAAAAGAAAATTATCGAGGGAGAATTCTTATATGTGGAGAACATAACCGGGGAGGACAATGAATTTATCGTGTCCGGTGCAGGTGTTACCGCCTATGTGGACCTACTGGAAAAGTCATGTTCTTGTAGGGAATATGGCTTGATCAAGATACCTTGTATTCAAGCGATAGCCGTTTTACGATCGAAGCATGACAACGAGTATGGTATGAGCATTTTTGACTACTCTTTTCCTTTGTATAAAGTTAAATCGTACCTCCTTTCATTCTTAGATTCTATTAATGTTGTCCCTCTCGAGTCTGAATGCTGTGTTCCAGAAGAGTTGCTTAATGTGAAGACTCTTCCACCTCTTGTCAATACCAAGTGTGTGTGTAAGAAAATGTGTCAAAGGTGTCGGTGAGAATTTCATGAGAAAGAGAAGGAACAAATGTTCAATTTGTAAGAGAATTGGACACAAGAGAACTACATGTGTGAACAACAACAAATCTTAAAGAAGCTTGATTGAGTTTGTAAGATACTAATCAAGCTACTGGGGAAAGTACTTTTTTTTTGCTGACAACATTTTGATCAATTTAGTGTCACTCTATATCATAATTAGTCGTGACTTAATATAGATCAATGAAAATACGACATAGATTTTGTACATTGTATTTATTGGTTATTATCGAGTCCATCCATTCTCTATTAAACCGTGTATTATTTATGAAGTTGTGTATTTTAATGCATGTGCGTTATTATTATTATTATTATTATTATTATTATTGTTATTGTTATTGTTATTATTACTATTATTATTATTATTATTATTATTATTATTATTATTATTATTATTATTATTATTATTATTATTATTATTATTATTATT